TCTTCTATTCTCTTCAAATTTTTTGGTAGCATGTAGTTTGTCTCTTTAAAACTGTGAAAGAAGATGACTACTATTTTTAGACAATAGAAGTTCATTCTATGATCTAATTCACCAAGTATTTACATTGGTTAAAACTGTGAGACAAAAACAAAAGATCAAGAGTAATGAGGTCTCATATACATGCGAAATATTCCACTTGTCTAATATAAGAGGGAAGTATTTTTTTAGAGATTTAATTTATATCTTTTGAATACACTAATCATTCATTTAGTCAATAAAGGAAATATTCACTGAGATGTGTGTATCTTTCTGTATGTACACAGACTATAAGACAAAGTATAAAAATTTTCACTAGGCACTTAATATCTGTAAGGCACAGCTGTATGCAGTGATAAAAACACATAAGATGGTTGCTTTGCAGAATTTACACCTTTTGCACTTTGTCCTTTGGAATTCAAACAAAGAGTTTCATATTTTCCACTGCAGAATTATATCTGTGACATCTGAGACAAAATATCTTGCCACAGACTTATTGAATGTGTTATTTTAGTAGCTATTAGCTAGGGCGGTGTTTTTTTCCGACTGTTGATCAAGCACATTGCAGGGTCATGAAATCAATTTAGTGGGTTGCAACAATAATTTACACATATAATGCACACACGTATTGAATTAGAATATAAAAAACATGGCTAGACTATATTAAATTAGAAATTTTCAGAGTGTATAAAATGTGTTTCTTATTGTGGTTCATATTCAAAAAAGACTGGAAACACTGAGCTAATGTATGTATGTGTTGCTGGGTTTTTTTTCTGTTTGTTTGTTTTTGTGGTCTGCTCCTACAGCTGTGGAATTTTTTAGTAAATCCTTGTCTTCATCATGATTTAGAGGCTCTATATAGCAACGGTCATCCCACATGCATAAAGACATGTTGATTTTGGGGTAATGAAGAAATCTACCATTTGGAGAACAATTTATTTCAGCTCTATTATGAGAATTAACACTGATGGTGCCTGTAATCCCAGATGCTTGGGAGGCTGAGGCAAGAGAATTGCTTAGGCCAGGAGTTCAAGGTTGCAGTGAGCTATGATCACACTTGTGAATAGCCACTGCACTCCAGCCTGGAGAACACAGTGAAACCCCATCTCTTAAAAAAAAAAAAACAAAAAAAAAAACACTGATGCCTCTTTAAAATCCTATTCACCAAATAGACTTTTTTTTCTAAGTAATAAAAAATTTTAAAGAGCCTAAGTACTTATTTAAAAACACACTCCATAGCATGGATTTCAAGAAATGTATTTTAGAGAAAGTCTAGAGTGTTTCCCAGAACATGAATAGTAATAGAATTCTAAAGAAATCCCCTTCACCTTCTTCCTGATAAGCTTTTGCTGATTCCATTCACTGCTACAGGGATTTCACAGTGTTAAGGACAGGAGGATCAAAGCCTGACAGACCTGAATTTGCATCCTTGCCTGATGACTTTTTTCCTGTGATACTCAGGTAAGTTATATAACTTTTTTGAGCCGCATTCTTTTTCTCATCTGTAAAATGAGTATGCCAATGTCTACTTCTCATGGGGTGCTGTGAGAATTAGATGAGAACATGCGCCAGGCCCTTCACATAGAAGTTAACACATGAAAAGTACTTAGTAATTGGTAGCTGGAGCTATTCAAGATGAATTAACAGGTACCCAGAACTTAATTATGTGTGCCACTCTAGGGCAGATGACTCCTAACACTAAATTACATCGTCATATCGGATTATTGTAGGCCATTTAAAGATGTGCAATATTGACCAGTATCACAATTTCACTCTTTTCTTAATACATCCCTGTTCCACATTCTCCGCAGTAGGCTGTTACACACATAGAAAATCTGATACTGTACAAAACGGAACTTGAGTTGATACGTGCTTCCCTTCTGTTGTTCTAGGTCTGCTATATCACTCTCTCTCATCATTCTTGGGGAAAGGTATAAATATAGGGGTATGTCATAACTGTGTGTGTGTGTCTGTATGTGTGTTTTGGTGGAGAAAAATATAGAAAACGACATACACATTTTTAAGTAGTTTACAAAGGCAACTAAAGTGAAGATGATGAGGGAAGCTTCCCTTCTTTGTAAGGCTTCAGTGTTGTCTGCTGAGAGACATCACCAGTGAGAGGCGATAGCTTAATCTCTAGAAGAAATGCATCCTAAGCAGAACTCCTTTCAGAGCCCCTTAATTTTGTTTAAGTCCAAAGAATATTGCACCTCTACAACCACTTACACTTATTATTTAGTAACGTCTAATTGTCTCCCAGATTAATGAAGGCCTCCTACCAGGCCATTACTGTTTTTTCTCCCACTCCCCAACAAGTTCCAATGTGCTCAAACTATTCTTAGACTTTCTTCTAAGGGTGCAGCTCAGCATTTCACCCATATAAATAGAAATATGTTATAATATGGGGGAGAAACGCACACATACACATAAATTGAAATTGTTCTACACAGTAATACCTTAATTGACTCTACCTTAATTGACTCTAAAAGTGCCCTTTGAATTCAATAGATATCTTTACCTGGGAACTACAGGAACTTTGGAATTTTATCATTAAAATTTGAATACATGAAAATGTGTGAAAAGATTAAAATGTATAACTGATCTTTTTAAATTAAAAATCTCATTTCTATTTTATTACTGAAATATTCCTGTTAAGTTTCTACCAAACTCACTTTATTAATGAGAAAACTAAAGCTCAGAGAAATTATGGCTGGCTTCTTAAAAGTGAATAGACTTTACAGCAGAGAATAAACACATGCACGTTTTCATGGACAAGCAAATTGTAATGTGGGATCTGCTTGTATAATAAAATA